TCACACTGACGGCTCTATATTACAGTACATACACTCACACTGACGGCTCTATACAGTGACAAAAGAGAAACAAATAGCGCCTCCTCACTTCACCTCAAATATTAGCTACCGGTAGAGCATATGATAAGCAGGATAATTGTGTAATGTTTACACTGTCTTCGCGATCATTTAACCATGGACCAGCCAGCTGCCCGGTACAGCTAGCCTGGTACAGCTAGCCCGGTACAGCTAGCTGCCCGGTACAGCTAGCTAGCCCGGTACAGCTAGCTGCCCGGTACAGCTAGCCCGGTACAGCCAGCTAGCCCGGTACAGCTAGCTGCCCGGTACAGCTAGCCCGGTACAGCCAGCTAGCCCGGTACAGCCAACTAGCCCGGTACAGCTAGCTGCCCGGTACAGCCAGCTGCCCGGTACAGCCAGCTGCCCGGTACAGCCAGCTGCCAGGTACAGCCAGCTGCCCGGTATAGCTAGCTGCCCGGTACAGCTAGCTGCCCGGTACAGCCAGCTGCCGGTACAGCCAGCTGCCCGGTACAGCCAGCTGCCCGGTACAGCCAGCTAGCCCGGTACAGCCAGCTAGCCCGGTACATCCAGCTAGCCCGGTACAGCCAGCTGCCCGGTACAGCCAGCTAGCCCGGTACAGCCAGCTGCCCGGTACAGCCAGCTAGCCCGGTACAGCCAGCTGCCCGGTACAGCCAGCTGTCCGGTACAACCAGCTAGCCCGGTACAGCCAGCTAGCCCGGTACAGCCAGCTAGTCCGGTACAGCCAGCTAGCCCGGTACAGCCAGCTGTCCGGTACAACCAGCTAGCCCGGTACAGCCAGCTAGCCCGGTACAGACAGCTAGCCCGGTACAGCCAGCTAGTCCGGTACAGCCAGCTAGCCCGGTACAGCCAGCTGTCCGGTACAACCAGCTAGCCCGGTACAGCCAGCTAGCCCGGTACAGACAGCTAGCCCGGTACAGACATGTTCCCAGGCACAGGTCACCCAGACACCACCAGGACTGACGAACGGCCATGACAGACACACTAGGCTACCCTCCCCTCCTCCTCCTCTCCCATATGTCGAAATGTTAGGAAAAGCACAAAAGGAAGGTGTGAATACAGTGGACAAGATATGAACAGTCTTATCAACCGCCTCGTCCTCAACTGTGACCAGCTCCAGAAGATACGGAACAAGCAAGGTAGAACATGAGATAAGATATAGAACAAAATAGAAGAGTTTCTATTCCACACGAGTCCCCAGGAAATAGATTTAATTTTTACAATTATCTCTCAACATAAGAATGAAGTGATTGGAACAATTATAAATAATCTAAATACCAAAAGAATTTAATAATTAACATTTAATAATTCCCCTTCCTACCCTTCCTCTCGATAACTACTTATAACTTCATTCTGCTTTGTTTCTCCTCTGTTTCACGGTCCTTTACTCATCTAGCCACTCTTCTTCTTCCTTATCACCCTCTCCCTCAATACATAACAAAACCAGGTAACTCCCATATACAGCAGAGTTAATTAGCTCTGAAGGTAATCGCGTGCGGGGCGGTTAAATATAATCAGGGCTCACAGGGCAGAAATTTGTGTAATTTTCTCTCCATTACAGTAGCGAGGGGAAGGCAGGCATGATAGGGAGGGGAAGGCAGGCATGATTGTGATAAACAAGGGGACGGAGGGAGGTGGAGAGAGATGGAGGGGTAAGGGGGGGGGGGGTAGGCGAATATAGGGGTTGGGATAAGCGAACAAGAGTAGGGATAGGTGGGTAAGGGAATAGGGTAAAGAGGCCGGATAGGGTGAAGCGTTAAGCCTAAGAGTAACCGAGTTACTACCCCCCCCTCTCTCTCTCTCCTTTCCCCTCTTGTCGGTACTGTCCCACTTATGTCACAAGATTTCCCACTCCCAGAACCTTTATCACGTCCCCTTTTTCTTCCTATTTTCACTTCCGTTCTTTATTCTCCCTTCCCCCCCCCTCTCTCTCTCTCTCTCTCTCTCTCTCTCTCTCTCTCTCTCTCTCTCTCTCGACCTCTCTCTCGACCTCTCTCTCTTCACCCGTTCCTTCCCGTCTTTCTCCCAGTGCTGCGTGTTCCTCGCCCATATCCCTGTTTCTCATGCCTAATGCAATTACCGGGAACTATCTCCGGCGTAGCATTCCCGCTGTCTTCTTCTGGACATCAGAAGAGGAAAAAAACTTGTATTCAGGATCCGTGTGTATCTTAAAATTATCCTCGGAGGAGATTTCTGGTTGGAGTTTAACATCTGCGGGTTCTTTAGGCTACTGCGTTTGAAAGCGCCAATCATCGCACCCCGGGCTGGGTCTGGGCCAATGGGAGCGCGGCTGTGGGGGGGGGGGGGGGCGCGGGGCGTTCGAACTGACGAATAGCAGCCATTGACAGTGATTGACGTCACAGCACCTGAACGAAAATATCCCTGGAATAGTGATCGCATTCAACTCTGATTTGCATCTATTTTTATTAATATTACGCGGTTATTTTGGCTTAAAAAAGTATCTTTGCAAATCTTTACTCGATTCACTGATATGAGCGACTCTTAAGAGCCGCAGGTGAATCCAAGAGCAGAGGAGACCAGTGACGCTCTTGTGTGAACATGGACGTTGAAAAAAAAAAGAGATGACGTGTGGAAAAACGTGATTTCTGGCCACCTCCCTCACGTCCCCCATGGCAACCATCCAACCCTCTATGGCAACCATACTTTTCCCATGGCAACCATTCAACCCTCTTTGTAGACCACCCAAATTTCTCTGGTGACCATTTCCGTTGGTCACCAGCCTTCCCTGTGGCCACCAGCCTCACCCTGTGGCCACCATCCTCCCCTGTGGCCACCAGCCTCCCCTGTGGCCACCATCCTCCCCTGTGGCCACCAGCCTCCCCTGTGGCCACCAGCCTCACCCTGTGGCCACCATCCTCCCCTGTGGCCACCAGCCTCCCCTGTGGCCACCATCCTCCCCTGTGGCCACCAGCCTCACCCAGTGGCCACCAGCCTCACCCTGTGGCCACCATCCTCCCCTGTGGCCACCAGCCTCACCCTGTGGCCACCAGCCTCCCCTGTGGCCACCAGCCTCACCCTGTGGCCACCAGCCTCCCCTGTGGCCACCAGCCTTCCCTGTGGCCACCATCCTCCCCTGTGGCCACCAGCCTCCCCTGTGGCCACCAGCCTCCCCTGTGGCCACCAGCCTCACCCTGTGGCCACCATCCTCCCCTGTGGCCACCAGCCTCCCCTGTGGCCACCATCCTCCCCTGTGGCCACCAGCCTCACCCTGTGGCCACCAGCCTCCCCTGTGGCCACCAGCCTCACCCTGTGGCCACCATCCTCCCCTGTGGCCACCAGCCTCACCCTGTGGCCACCAGCCTCACCCTGTGGCCACCATCCTCCCCTGTGGCCACCAGCCTCACCCTGTGGCCACCAGCCTCACCCTGTGGCCACCAGCCTCCCCTGTGGCCACCAGCCTCCCCTGTGGCCAGCAGCCTCACCCTGTGGTCACCATCCTCCCCTGTGGCCACCAGCCTCACCCTGTGGCCACCAGCCTCCCCTGTGGCCACCAGCCTCACCCTGTGGCCACCAGCCTCCCCTGTGGCCACCAGCCTCCCCTGTGGCCACCAGCCTCACCCTGTGGCCACCAGCCTCACCCTGTGGCCACCAGCCTCACCCTGTGGCCACCAGCCTCCCCTGTGGCCACCAGCCTCCCCTGTGGCCACCAGCCTCCCCTGTGGCCACCAGCCTCCCCTGTGGCCACCAGCCTTCCCTGTGGCCACCAGCCTTCCCTGTGGCCACCAGCCTTCCCTGTGGCCACCAGCCTTCCCTGTAGCCACCAGCCTCACCCTGTGGCCACCAGCCTTCCCTGTGGCCACCAGCCTCCCCTGTGGCCACCAGCCTCTCCTGTGGCCACCAGCCTTCCCTGTGGCCACCAGCCTTCCCTGTAGCCACCAGCCTCACCCTGTGGCCACCAGCCTTCCCTGTGGCCACCAGCCTCACCCTGTGGCCACCAGCCTCACTCTGTGGCCACCAGCCTTCCCTGTGGCCACCAGCCTCACCCTGTGGCCTCCAGCCTCCCCTGTGGCCACCAGCCTCCCCTGTGGCCTCCAGCCTCCCCTGTGGCCACCAGCCTCCCCTATGGCCACCAGCCTCACCCTGTGGCCACCAGCCTCCCCTGTGGCCACCAGCCTCCCCTGTGGCCACCAGCCTCACCCTGTGGCCACCAGCCTCCCCTGTGGCCACCAGCCTCCCCTGTGGCCACCAGCCTCACCCTGTGGCCACCAGCCTCCCCTGTGGCCTCCAGCCTCCCCTGTGGCCACGAGCGACAACACTCCCCTCTGGTTGAATTATTGATCATGCCGACATGTTCGTGATGCCCTAACAACTGTTACTTCAACAAATATACTGGGGAGAGAGAGAGAGAGGGAGAGGGAGAGAGAGAAAGAGAGAGAGAGAGAGAGAGAGAGAGAGAGAGAGAGAGAGAGAGAGAGAGAGAGAGAGAGAGAGAGAGAGAGAGAGAGAGAGAGAGAGACAAAGTGACACGGAGACAGAGGGAGAGTGAGAGGAGAATTTCAACTGCATGGAATGGGACAAGAGAAATAAAAATATATGGAGAGAGGGGCAGGGGGAGCACCGAACACTATTGGAAAGAGGGGTGGGAGGGAATGTGACGCAGAAAGAGGGGCGAGTGGAATGGAGGTGACGCAGGGAGAGAGAGGGGGGGAAGAGAAGGGAGCGGGATGACGAAGTGAAGGATACGTGATAACGTCTATTTTCACCTCTCCCATAACCAGAGAAGTCTATTTTCACATCACTCATTCCTATAAGGCTAAAAATATTATGTAACTAGGGCTATTTATATCAATAGTTATTATTAATATTAGTATTATTATTTTTATTATTTGATATGTGAATTAATGATATCAAAATACAGTACATTTATTTAACACTAAAGTTAGCATGTAGAGAAGTTAGTGAAAAAACATACCAGCTAAACACGTGTTTTTCTCCTCCCGCAGCTCCTGACGGTGAACCAGCAGTACGGAGAGAACCCAGAAATCACTGCCCTGAAGAAGGAGCTGGCTGAGGCTTACAGGGGACACTAAGACTTCGTGGAGTGTTGCTGGGACTCCAGCGGGCAGCTCTCCACCACCTCTGCTCGATGCTTACTACGTAGTGACGCCCTGGACCCCTCCGTCAAGTTGACGGCGTCTCTCAGAACCTGTCTGTCATACTTCTACCGCGCCTACCTGTCCTGGAAGTAGTTTACCAGACCTGGAAGGAGTCTACCAGACCTGGAAGGAGTCTACCAGACCTGGAAGTAGTCTACCAGACCTGGAAGAAGTCTATCAGACCTGGAAGTAGTCTACCTGACCTGGATGAAGTCTACCAGACCTGGAAGGAGTCTTCCAGACCTGGAAGTAGTCTACCAGACCTGGAAGTAGTCTACCAGACCTGGAAGTTTCTCGTCATATTTCGAAAGACCTTGATAATATATTCTGTTACAGTATATTTGTGTTTAATAGCTAATAAATATGTTAATATAGTTTCTCATTATAAATTCATAAGTGTTTTACTTTTCTTGAAAGTTCACAACTTAAAGTTTGTTGTCTTGAACCAAAAACGTAGATAAAGTTTCCAAACATTTAATAACTATTGATAACACACTTGAAGACAATTTCAATACGTTAGCTTCCCAATAAGGACTTTTATAACTCCCTTGAGAAACAATCTTGCAATTTCTTCAATAACATGTATTACCACCCTAAAAAGGCCTTTCGTATTGCAGCCAAAAGTAAATATCCACTTTAGGTAGCGATCAACTTAAAAAAAAACTTATCAAATGCACAGTTGCAGACTCCACAGAGATGAACTTGAGATGTGCAGAGGAGCTGTTGAGAGCTGTTCACTGGTTTGATTAACTGTTGGTGTCCTCGAAGTAATTACGATGCTTGTTACTGCAAAGGTGGTTAGTACTGCCCGTTGGTGTCGTAACCATTCCACGAACGAGTCTTCAGAACATCTTTACCCAATTCCAGGAACGCTGACCTTCTCCACCTTCTTCAGGAACGTTGACCTTCATCTATAGACCATTCTTTCCCTATCCAGAAACATTGATCATAACACCTACATAAACACTGACCATCAACACCACCCAGAAACATTGACCACCTGCACCCAGAATCATTGACCACTTGCATCCAGAAATATTGACCACCTGCACCCAGAAACATTGACCACATACACTCAGAAACACTGACTACCTGCACCCAAAAACATTGACCACCTGCACCCAGAAATATTGACCACTGCACCCAGAAACATTGACCACATACACCCAGAAACACTGACTACCTGCACCCAAAAACATTGACCACCTGCACCCAGAAACATTGACCACCTGCACCCAGAAACATTGACCACCTGCACCCAGAAACATTGACCACCTGCACCCAGAAACATTGACCACCTGCACCCAGAAACATTAACCACCTGCACCCAGATACATTGACCACCTGCACCCAGAAACATTCACTACCTACACCCAGAAACATTGACCACCTGCACCCAGAAACATTGACCACCTGCACCCAGAAACATTGACCACCTGCACCCAGAAACATTGACCACCTGCACCCAGAAACATTGACCACCTGCACCCAGATACATTGACCACCTGCACCCAGAAACATTCACTACCTACACCCAGAAACATTGACCACCTGCACCCAGAAACATTGACCACCAACATCCAGAAACTTTGACCACCTACACCCAGAAACATTGACCACCTGCACACAGAAACATTGACCGCCTACACCCAGAAACATTGACCACCTTCACCCAGAAACATTGACCACCTGCACCAAGAAACATTGACCACCTGCACCCAGAAACATTGACCAGCAACACCTACCAACAACATTGACCACCTACACCCTGAAATATTAACCAACACCTACACCAAAAAAAAACATTGACCACCAACACCTACACCCAGAAATCACCCCCCCCCCCCTGTCACACTTGCAAGAACAAGGTGGAGAGGTTGCGAAACAAACCATGCAGACTTGTAAGGAGAACAAATTCATACTTATAGTCATACTAGACAATATTTAGAGGACAATAATGTTTGTAATGTTCAATGTGATTAGCAACTTTGATGTGCTAAAAAGAAAAAAACTTGTGCTATTAGTAGGTAAACTAGTAGTTTTTAAGTTTATTTGTAGGTAAACTCTGTACATGGCAAATAAAGGAACGGTTAAAC